GGCGAATCTTATATATGTTGTTCTTGTCCTAAGTATTATCATTCATTACCAACATTTGTTTGATTATTCTATTCAGTAACCTCTCCTAGGTTACAACATAATGTAAGTTCTCAAATGAAAGACATGTATTATTCTATTTTATTGAAATGATTATAAAATTTATATCATATGCGATGCACAGAGCATAGTGTAAATAACTTATGATTTGTACGTTCTGTGCATCACATGTGATGTACAGGATTTTATGATGTGAAGCACTATATATCCCTTCCATCTTGCAGCTGAGGTTCATGGTGACATTCAAAGCAGAATAGTGCAATGGCTTGCCGGTTTCTTTTGCATCGCGGATGTTGAGGTTATCCCGTCCCTCCTCTCAGAGGTGGATTTTTTTTAAATTTCCCCCTTCTAGCCTTCGCCTAAAGAGGTAGGACCTACAAGAAAATGGCGATAAGAATGAAACTTCAAAATCAAATCCACATCTAAGAGGAGGGACGGGTTAACTCGGACCTCCGATTCTTCAAACCGAGCCGCTAACCACTACTCCATAGCATCTCCAACAAGAACATCATTAATAACACATAAAATCCTCTCTGTTTATGTGTTTCTATTCTTAGTTTCACAGAAATTGCATCCATTCGTCAGGAGACTTGATAATAAAATTTACAGAAATCATTTTTTAACCCTTTGCCTGTCCTGCGCATTATATGTGATGCAGAGGATATGTGATTTACACGTCCTTTTATCATATTTGGTGCACACGAGCCATGATTTTAAAAGAGTGGAAAAACTAAGGAGGGTTCAAAATAATGTCTACTATTGAGCAGGACGTGTGAGGAAAGGCTTAATCTAATATTTTGGGCATCATCTATAATCACAGGGCGCTTGACTGATAATGTAAGGTCTCAAATGAAAGACATTATTCTATTTTATTGAAATGATTATAACCTTTGCATCATATGCGATGCACAGAGCAAAGTGTAAATAACTTATGATTTGTACGTTCTGTGCATCACATGTGATGCACAGGTTTTTATTATGTGAAACACTATATATCAGCTCATTCTATTTGCCAAATAAGTTGAGTTGCCTTTGCAATAGTTAGAAATCTGAAAACAAGAATGAACGTTTGGATAGTACACATGAAAATGTTCTGGACAGGCAAAGGCTAAGCTTGGTAAAATTAGGTGTCGAAGAGTAATTATTAAAAATTAAATTGTTAAAAATTACTACTGGGCGTTTGTTATGTACGTCAAATAAAAAAAAAGAGAGAGAAAATAAATGACTTACATGCAGCTTCTCATAAATAGAGTAAATGTTGACTATGGGAATTTATCCGTAAGATATTTGATTCTCGAATATTGGCATCTGAAAAGAACAAAAAAGAGACCTGAGCAAAACGAACAAAGAAAATGAAATTCAATTAAACAGCGTTCGGAGAGCTCTCTTTTCAAATTATATGTGCGCGCTTTACAGATACTGTCTTCTTCAATGTGTCGTGTCCCTTCAGAACGTAGACGACCATATCTCTCCACAACTTCGCGTACTTTGAAACCCTTAATAAAGTTTGTCTTTTCGCTACATCTAATGCCTGTTCTGCAAACCCAAGATCATTAAGTAGGTTAAGCCTTGCTTTCCTTTGTCCATCTTGCCTTCACTATGTCCTGTGAGTACCAGATTTTCCCAGCCTTCTTTCCTCATTATCTACCCTAGAGATTTCAACTGACTCTTTTTGTTATTTTCCTTGCCATTTTCCTTAAATTTTCGTCGTTGCTGCTATTGTTTTAATCATTTAGCACCAAGCAAGGCAATAAAGCCACTAAGACGCAAGGAAGTGACTGAGTATTAAAGAATATGAGTAAAACTACTAATAAGAAAAGAATACAATAAAAGAACAAACATTAAGAAGATAATGATTGACATTGTATTTAAATCTTTGAAGACCAAAGTTGACTGGAAGAAAGTTCCACGAGCGATAAGTGTGATAAAAGAACGGTTATATCTAGCCATTTAAACTCTAAAAGAATGAGATCTCGCTGCCAATCTAGTACTGCGCGTAAAGTCATAAAGTCTAGGTACCATAGAGGAGAGTTCATTAGAAGAATTACAATGAAAATATTTATCGAAAAGACACAGGGAAGCTACGTTACGGTGGTGGGAAGGCGAGATCGGGATGCCAGGTCAGGATCTATAACATTGCAGATTCTTTGGATTTTATCAAGAATCTCTAAATGTATAACAGGAGCATCAAACCAGATCTGACAGCAATAATCAATGCATGGACGAATAGTAGACTTATAAATATGTAAGATAGATTCTGGTCTATGTTATTCTCAGCATACTTCTGTAGAACCACATTTCTGTTGCCTCAATTCTGTGGGAAGATTGTCCAGCATTCACATAATGTAGGAGGACTGATATTACATAATAGTTCAGTACACTTTTCTTCGTTTCCAATTTTGGTATTTCCATTTGTAATTCGCATGTTAAGCCGTTTCTTTTGATGACAACCATACATTGTCAGATGATGTTCACTCCTTCTTCTTGCTTTCCATTACTACCTTCTGTATGAGCCCCTATAGTTTCTTTTCTGAGGGAGAAATACGCAAACAGGCCATTCAGCAAGCAAGATTAGTTTTCACATCAATAGGAACCTTTAATGTAACAACACATCTCGTTACAGCAGAACCTTCCTTAGTATTTTTTTTACATACTATCATCGGAAGTTATTTTTGCATTTCAAATATTTCTATTTTTATATAACCCTTTGTGACTGGTTCATCGATAAACTATTTTGCCAAACGTTCTGTCCATCTCTCTTCCTTCTTCCTATAATCTTCCCTTTCTACGCCATCTGTCCGTCTCTTTCTTTTTCTTTCTCATATAGCCTCCTCTTTCTAAAGATTTAGTCTGTCTCTTTCTCTTTACATATAACATAATCATCCCTCACAGATTTATTCGCTCTCTTTATTTTCCTCCTTCATACCACCTTCCCCTTCTACACCATCTGTCCGTCTCTTTCTTTTTCTTTCTCATATAGCCTCCTCCTCCTCCTACCGACTTAGTCCGTTTATCCATCTTTCTTCCTCGTGTCACCTTCTCCTTTTACACCATCTCTCTCTCTCTCTCTCTCTCTCTCTCTCTCTCTCTCTCTCTCTCTCTTTTCCTTCATATAGTCTTCTCCTACCCAGGTTTTTTTTTCTTTCTTTCTTTTTTCACTCTCGCACAAATTTCTCCTCCCACGACATTTCTCTTTTGTTTTTGTCTTTCTTCTCTCATACTTTTAATATTTTCGCAAAACCTGATCCAAAATATAAATGACTCCTGTGATTATTAGCGATACGAATAATGAATCAGCTGGATAATAGCCGATAAAACATGATAATTCCATTGCTAAATACAATTACCTTGAAATTCTGTTAACTACAGACTAATATTTCATTTGAGACAAGCAGACGAGTGGCGAAGGCGCACAAAACCAATCAAATACGTCCATTTCCTGGTGTTTTTTGTTTGTTTGTTTGATTTTTGGGTGTTTTTTTAAAGAACGGGGGTATTAAGAATTTCCTTTCTCCACTGTTGCCTGTGAGAAAACCCCATTTTCAAGATCAATCAGTATATTAGTTTATGTCTTTAATTGTCTGTCATTAGCCAACAATTCAAATTTCTTCTTTCTACCTGCGAACCAAACTAAATATTTATGCTAATGTAAACATCTTAGAAAAAAAACAAAAAAAAACACCCTGATGACGACATTGTGCTAATGTCAAAAGTAGTCGGAATAAAATGAATATGCATGAACATTATAATTTTCTTTCTTCCTTTAATAAGGATATCAAGAAACTTGCTCGGAATTACGAAAGGATTCTACTAAAAATAAGTAGACAAAACCTGTCTAAATTATTTAATGAGACATGGTTTTGTTTGGTCTGTTTTACGGCATATCAACCTCAATGGGTTATTTAATGCCGATAATTTTTATTGCTGGTAATTTTTTTTTTTAAATGTATTGTGGTAATAATTTTTTCTTCAAAACTTTATTGCTGGTAATAAATATTTTACAAAGTATTGCTGTTATTAAGACCTATTTTTACACTTTCATAATGTTTTGATCCCAGTTTGGTGCTTCCCGTGGAGAAAATAATGATATAATCAGGTTGCTGACCTTTCACACTACCATAAACAAAAATTTAGGAACGAAAGCCCCCATCAATATGAGAAAGGACGATAAAAGTGGATTTGAGAAACCTATTTACCTGTGGAACTGCTTTAAGAGGGAGATTTTATAAAGATGCTAGGCTGCTCGATCAGTGAATGTTTCCTTATGAGGAAGTAGATAATTGACATTACCATATGATCCAAATGAAAAAGGACTGGTAAGATCATAAATAAGATCTGAGTGAAGCAAATAAGTACGTAAAAAGATATAACGAGATAGACAGAGAGGCGGACGGACGGATAGATAGATAGATAGATAGATAGATAGATAGATAGATAGATAGATAGATAGATAGATAGATAAGCCCAATTTAAGATTGGAATACCCTGAGAGATAAGAAATAAATTGTAAGAAATTGAATATGATATTATTCAAAATAAATATCGTATAGCTTTTGTATTCATTTCGTCAGAAAATAAATTACTGGTTTCACTGAGATCGACTTGACTAAAATGACCGTTGCGGGGCTAAATACTTACGCCCTTCCGAAGAGCAGACATCTTTTTTATACTCGCTATTCTTGTCCTACCAATAAATTGTATATTATTTATAATTCTATGTTAGATATTTGTTATATTTCCTTGGAACGGTCGTTGGGGGAACGTCTTCGACACATAAATATAGAAAAGTAGTAAATAAAACAATGTAAATATTGACTCTATATTCATATATCAGTCTGTTCATATCTATCTATCTATCTATCTATCTATCTATCTATCTATCTATCTATCTATCTATCTATCGATCTCCGTCTCTTCATAACTGTTTGTTTTCATCTATTCATTTATATGCTTTTCAGTCTCTTTACATTTACACATATATAGATAGACATGAACAGATTTAGATAGATAGATAGATAGATAGATAGATAGATAGATAGATAGATAAATAGATGCCGTATTTTTATACTATAAGGTTCAGTAACTATCTATATTTCTTAGATGGGGTATTATGTACATTATTTACATTATTCGAACTATTGACCACATCTTTGTCGCCATATTTATTACAACGTTTCGGCTGGAATGTCGAACTGAACTGAACTGTTCTAGTTCCACATGCCATGTTTAATGGACGTCAGTTATCAGTTATCTCCTGTTAATTTCCCTCTGAAATAACCGGGTATTGAACTCACACTCTTTGAGTCTTGTAACTGTATCAAACCAACGCCTTTATCCACCGTGCCATGTGCCCTTGAGGACAACTGTGTATGAATTTCTGAGTATTATAAAACTAATATCTCCTGCCACCATTTTTACCAGTGCTCATATTGCAATTTTCTGCTGTTACCATTACATCTTTTTATCAGAGCTCATATTGCAACTTTTGTTGTTATTATCGCTTTTCTCTGACACTCCTTATTACTGGTTCCCATATTGTATTCATTTCTATGCTTGGTCGGCTCAGGAGATTTTTGTGGCCGAGCATATATGCTGATTCCTTAAGTTTACGAATTTTCCAATGGTGTTCCTTGTCTAAGATCTCAACCTGATCCCACAGAAGGCGGTGATCTTCCTTCTCTCTCCATATGTGGTCAGCCACGACTGATTTTTCTACTTCCCCTCGCGTTACAGCTTTCTGGTGTTCTTGAAGCCTTACCTTAAGGGGGCGGCCTGTCTCCTCTTTATATTTCTTTCCGCAACTGCACGGGATGGCGTACACACAGTCTTTAGTCGTGTTCTCCTCTATGGGGAAAGGTCTTACTCGGGAGAGATATCTACGAAGTGTCGTCAAGCTTTTGAAGGGTGTCCTGATGTTGTAATAAATATGGCGACAAAGATGAGGATAATAGTCCAAATAATGTAAATAATGTATAAGGTTCAGTATATGTGATTAATATGTATCTTAGAACTAAGTTCATTAAGAAATGAAAAAGGAGATTATGTTGAAAAAATATTTGTCACATTTTATATATATATATATATATATTATTGTTATACATTATTTATATTTAAGTAAATGCTCTGTTTATAATGAGAAGTATTAACAACAATTACCGACCTGAACGTCCGTGATATTTTCATAGAAAATATGCGTCCTCCGATAGAAATCGAACCTGTATCCTACAAGCAACCGTCATATAGCCAGCCTGACGTACTATACCAGTTTAGCTACCGATTTTAACAAGGTTGATTTTACTGCTTTTAAACTAGAATTTTCGATGATTTCCCTCGAATGTTCATATCTACTGGAAGCGTATGTAAACGTAAACAAATGACGTCACACACTAAGAAATGGACAAAGTCCGACAATTATTTTACTATATCTTATTGTTATGCGTAATTTATACAGACAGAAGTAAACGGTAGCAATTATGGTAGTGAATGCTGGACAATCGCTAGATGTAACCGTAGGTTCTATTCTAATAGTTCCTTTTATCGCTTGCAGAAGTCTCTTCCGGTTTCTTGCCCCACTGCCATCCACAATCCTCAAAGATTTAAATGCAATGTCCATCGCAATCTTCTTTCACCTTGAATAATGTTCTGTTGTCCTTTATTCCCAATAAATTCTTCTTATTCACTTTTATTCCCAGTTACCCCCCATTGCGTCACAGAGGTATTATCGCCTTGCTGTGGGCGGGGGGATATGATTAAAGTAAAATCTTCTCGCAGATGAAGAGACTTGAGGCAACAGAAATATGTTCCTACAGAAGGATGCTGAGAATACTATGGACTGAATATGGAAGCAACAACTATGTCGTAGGGGAAATGGAAACAAAATAGATCGATGAACCGATTGAGATAGATAGATAGATAGATAGATAGATAGATAGATAGTCTTGTCTACTTATTTTTAATAGAATCCTATTCTTAGTATCCTTATTAAAGGAAGAAAGAAAATTAATATGTTGATGCATATTCATTTTATTCTGAGGACTTTCGACATTAAGACAATATCGTCATCAGGGTCTTGTTTTTTTCTAAGACAAAAAATTGTTGTGTTCATCATTTTCTAAGACAAGATTATGTTTATCTGAAAATTAAAATATATATATATAGATAGATAGATAGATGAACTGTTTGAGATAGATAGATAGATAGATAGATAGATAGATAGATAGATAGATAGTTTTGTCTATTTATTTTTAATAGGATCCTCTCGAAAATACGAACAAGTTCTTTAGTATCCTTATTAAAGGGAGAAAGAAAATTACCGTGTTGATGCATATTCATTATTTTCTGAGGACTTTCGACACTAGCACAGTGTCGTCAGCACTGTCTTGTTTTTTTCTAAGACAATAAAATTGGTGTGTTCCTCTTTTTTCTAAGACAAGATTGTTATGTTTATCTGAACATTAAATGATAGATAGATAGATAGATAGATAGATAGATATTCTTAAATAAGTCTTCGAATTCAAAGCCAGCCGGAAGAAGATGTGTTGTGTCTGTCTATCTTTGTCTAATCACAACACTGCTATCATGGCTGTTGTACACGTGGTGTCCCAAGCACCCCAATGGTTTACAGGACTCGTGTTGCGAGATAGTGAATTAAATCCACTGCTTTAGAGACAAAGCCTATGGTACTTACTAGAGAGGTTTATCGCTTGTTCCCGGTTCCTTCTAAAGTCTTTTTTGCGATATTTCACCCGAAGAAGCCCGCCTGCGTCTTACTGGGATATGGCCTTGCTTGGGGTGAATTGGTTAAAAAAAATCACTGTAGAACAACACAAAGATTTCTTGATTATTGAGCTAAACAGGAGCTAAAACAGGCAGGTGTTCGTTGTCTAAAATTATGAGAACCAACTGTTAGGTGAGTAACAATTTCTAAAATCTATTTGCAACTGGCGTCTCCGAGGTCTACGTGCACGAATAAAGCGAAGGAAAATTGTATCAGACAAAACGGTACAAAAAAATATACATAGAAAAGCAAGATATATTTAGATCGGGTGCTTTAGAAGAAAAACAATTACAAGAAAAATTGATCAGATAGAATTTCAAATAAAAAATAGACACACACACACGTACAGGCACAAATTCCATGAACTCACTCTTGATATATATATATATATATATATATATATATATATATATATATATATATATATATATATATACACACTTCAAACGTCACTATAGTGGATATTTCGTATTTGAAATAAACGCTACATATTTATTTATTAAATAGTGTGTATTACGTCTATCTTCCTGTGCATTTAATAAATTTTAGTAAAGAAAATGCTTTCCCCCATCAGGGATCGAACCTGTGACCCCCCACCACCACTTTGTAGGCGATCACGCTGTTTGATCCACTTTGCTTTAGGGCTAGGCCACGAAGGACCTCGCAACATGCAAGATCATATTTTCCCCCTTTTTTTGTTTAAAGGAATGCGCATCCCATTCACCTAAATTATTTTATATATATATATATATATATACTGTTGCATATCCTGCCATCATATATCCCTGCATATATATAGCATAAAGTCTAGATATTTTATTGAAGTTTAGACTTATATGTATATATATATAGACTTAAAAAACATATATATATATATATATCATTCAGTTATATGTGATACATGATACACGCTTTCGATACATGACTGACGAAGCAGTAGGTTACCATTTCTTTAAGCGGTAGACCAGTTGCCATCCAAGCCTATAGGACTATTTACCAATAGATGGGAAGAGAAGAGGAGGATTCATGCCTTTCCCAAGGGTATTAGCACATAAGTGATTTTAATGGATTCGACTGGAATTCGAACTCGGCTCTCCGATTTCTCTATCTGAACCGCTATCCTCCTCACTCTTCTTTAATATACATATTCGTATATATTCTGTATATATTCTGTAGTGTAAGAAAAGACAGTGCTTATTGTTAAATAAATGTACCTTATATTGATTGCACAAACCTGCACTCTTCTAAAATCTTTTAAAATCCTCACCTGAATAATGCAGAGGTATGAAACTCCGAGTTGTGCAATCAGTGTAGGGCATTGTATTATATATATATATATATATATATATATATATATATATATATATATATATATATATATATATATATATATATATTATTTGTTTACATGTTATTTTTACGGATGCAGTAGATGCTCTGTTTTTTTGGTATGTTATGTTTTTTATTTATTAAAAACTATATTTATTTATTTACACCTACCGGCCTGAATATTCTAGAAATCATGTTAAAAATATGCGTAGGGAGCATATTTTTTCTAACAAGATTCATATATATATATATATATATATATATATATATATATATGGGAAAGAAAGGGAGAAAGCGAACGAGAAAATATATATATATATATATACATATATATATATATATATCTGTGTGTCTGTGCGCGCGTGCGTCCCCCTTGGCAAGAGAAACCATCGTTAGGTCCGGTAGACGAAAATAATTAAATATCCTGTTTAATAAAATAAACGGGGCTTCTACTCAAATACGGGTATCCACTAAAAATACTGTTTAAGTAATAAAATATGTCGTATTGATAAATAGGGAATCCGTTACTTCTTTAGAAATCGCTTTGTTTACGTTTACGAAATTAGGCGCATATGAAGATCCAATTCATCAGACCTACAAATTCAAAAAGCCTTTTTAAATTTGTAGTTCTGATGAATTGGATCGTGATTAGGGTCCCAATGTAGTAAATTATAACCATGGAATATTAGTGTTTGAGTCTTTTATATTATATTCTTGTTCTGTCCTGTACATTGAGCTCTGCCTGGATTTTATCCTCTTGAAATATATATATATATATATATATATATATATATATATATATATATATATATACTTGTATTTATATATATATATATTTGTATATATATATATATATATATATATACTTGTATTTTGATTGGTCATTCTAGCTTTTGTAACAACGTTTTCCCCTTGCGAAGGATCATTAATTAATTTGAAACTTTTAAAACCATTTATTTTACGTTCAAATCATCACTTGATAAGACACCAGGTGTGTTGAAACGAAACGGTTATTTTTGTAGTGTTTTTATAACATATTTATGTTATAAATTTTTTTTAAATAAATAATTATATATATATATATATATAAAGAAATGGACAAAGTCCGACAATTTATTAAAGACATTTTCATGTTTAACATTCTTTTTATAGATACAAGTATTTTAGTAAATGCTCTGTTTATAATAAACAGTATTAAATAACATTTACCGGCTTGAAAATTTATCGGACATTCAGGCCGATAAATGTTATTTAATACTGTTTATTATAAACAGAGCAATTAATAAAATACTTGTATCTATAAAAAGAATGTTAAACATAAAAATGTCTTTAATATATATATATATGTGTGTGTGTGTGTGTGTGTGTGTGTGTGTGTGTTAGACAAAGTGGGGAAATTGTTTTGTTTACCTGTTTTGCCTTCGCCAGATCGGCTTCCTCAGCTTAGAACAGAAGAAATATTTGTTTGTGTGTGTGCGCTCGCGCGTGCGCACTCGCGCTTCAACATTAAATAGTTCATATTTTTTCCGCTAGGTTAGCGTCCCTCGGTCGCAATGAAAGACTAACATTGTGTGACTTCTGTTCTAAAGTCGTTATTTTGAATCTCTGATGTCGATTGTCGGTCTGTTTATATTTTAAGCTATTTATCGCTCGACGATTCCGAATTTGGTTTTGATAAGAAATGTTTTCTTTTTTTTTTTTTTTAAATGAAGATCCAATCCAATTTTTATGGCTTTGCCGAAAAAAATTTTATTTCATTTTATCCATCTTTCTCCCTTTTCTTCTGCAGTGAATTGAAGGTAAATATTTCTCTATTGCTGTCAGAATGAATTGAAAGCAAGAGATTCTTGTCTGCTTATGTCTTTGCGATTTCCATATCGACAGGATTTGTGTCAGTAGGATATTGAATCCAAACTAACGCGTAGGAAAATCAAGAAGACATTTTTACATTTTTCTTGATTTTGTATCCTACTCACACACACACACACACATATGAAAAAATTCTCAGTTAACCTGTAGAAAAAGAAAATATTTATCAATGTAAAAGACAATAGGAAAACTGTAATGGTAGCTGACATTTTTTTTGTCCTTTTTTGCCTTGAGGAAGTCCACATTGGACGAAACGCGTCGGCTACCATTACAGTTTTCCTATTGTCTTTTATTTTTATACACACACATATATATATATATATATATATATATATATATATATATATATATATGTGTGTGTGTGTGTGTGTGTGTGTGTGTGTGTGTGTGTGAAAAATATATAGAAAATAGGAAAAAGAACTCGTTAGGTAAATAATCCAAAGTTCTTTAGTATTTTTTTTTATTATTTTTAAAAAATAGTGCTCGATACAAAAGTAGAGCATAAATATAATTATTTATTTAAAAATATGATTCCAACACGCTACATAAGAGTTCACATGTTTCAAAACAAGAGCCGAAAACTTCAATATAATTATTTGAATTAAATTGAATTAAAGTACTAAGCTCTGTTCCATCTTCCAGCGAATTTTTTTAAATAACTTATTTCTGAAATTTACGCGTTTTATAAGTATATATATATATATATATATATATATATATATATATATATATATATATATATATATATTTAGTTTTTTCATTCATACGTTTCATTAAATAACATAGACAAGTGTTGTCTATTTATTTTATGTAAATTCTTTTCATATCGTCTGATAAGCTTAATAACATCATTAAATGAAGAAAAAAAAATGTATCAATATTGTGATTTTCTTTCTTCGTTTAATGATAATATTATTAAGCTTATCAGACGATATGAAAAGAATTTACATAAAATAAATAGACAACACTTGTCTATGTTATTTAATGAAACATGTATGAATATATATATGTGTGTATGTGAGAGAGAGAGACAGAGAGAGAGAGAGCAAAAATTTCAGATTGAGTATATCTGTAAAAGGACAATACGAATAAAGACAAAATGAAAACTTATAATAGACGACGTGTTTCGTCCTTTGAGGAACTTTATCAAGATAAAATTTGCCTTGTTACAGGACGAAACGCTTCGGCTAAAAGTTTTCCGTTTGTCTTCATTCACCGGTACAGCTAAATTACGCAAAAATGAAAATAACACTGGCAACTTTTTTTAACAGATGTATTTGCCAAAATTGCACAAAAACATCTTGAAATACTAAAGAGTAAATTTATTCAATAAAATCGCCATTGGCTTCAACCACGGCCTGCAGACGACTTCGGAATCTCTTGCAACTCTTCTAGATAGTCTCCTTGTTTAAGTTGGTGAAGGCTGCCATAATCCTTACCTTTAGTTCATCTTTGACGTAACAAGAAGTTTTGTTTGTCTTTCCCTCAACTGCACCCCACACATAATAATCAAGGTGGTCTGGGGAGTTAGGTGTCTAAATGTAAGTGGTCATAGAAATTGTCTGACAGCCATGACTGAGTAATCCTGCTTGTGTGGCATGGTGCAGAGTCCTATTGCCAGACATAGGATCTTCCAGCAGCTACCCTCTTGATACAGGGAAGCACTACCTCCCCAAGGCACTTGATTTAGGCTTCCGTGTTGTGTCCGAGACCTTCAGTAACAAATTTAGAACGATCAGATTGAATTTTCCAAGCTGACGTACCTTTGTAATCACCATTAGACTCATCCAACTCTTTCCGAATCCTTTATATTGACGACCAAACAATCTGAAATGTCCGTATTGGAGCTTCCAGCGCGAATGCCAAGCAGTTCTACATGTTGTTTCCAAGTTTCTGCCGGACTGAATTGCGCCATAGCGTTCTTTCTCTCACAGACGATGCGCCACAGACTCTACTCTATATTGTGCTGTCGACAAAATCAAAAAAATTGAAATTAAAAATACAAAATGGCGGCGACAACTTACACATCACACGCTATATATATATATATATATATATATATATATATATATATATATATATATATATATATAATAGTTTCAGATAGATAGGAACAGCCTGAGATAGATACAAACAAACTGAGATTGATCGATACGAGGAGACTGAGATTGATAGATAGAAACAGTCTGAGATAGATAGATAGATAGATAGATAGATAGATAGATATGATCAGACTGAGATCGACAGATAGATAAACAGACAGAGATAGAGAGTCAGGAAGAGACTGAGATAGATATACAGGCTGTCCATAAAGTTCGTGTGCACTTAAAAAAATTTATAACTTTATTTGTATTTGCGATAGAAATAATCTGTAAAAAATGTTATAAATTTTAATGTACCTAGTTTTAAGTATAGTGAAAATAACTAATGTGATTTCAGGCATTACTTTAAATCAGTTGGCAAATGTTTTCCGTGAACTGCAAAATCGTATTACCTTTTGTATTGCTAATGATGGAGGACATGTGGAAACTTAAATAAAATTTCAATAAAACCTTAAAAATATAGATTTACTTCTTTCTAATCCCTTTTTACAAATTATTTCTATCGCGAATACAAATAAAGTTATAAATTTTTTAAAGTGCACACGAACTTTATGAACACCCTGTATATAAACCGAGCCAGCGAGAGAGAGATTGCGCTGAAAACCTCTTGGTTTAATCTCATTTCTTAAAACCAGGACATTGAAATATATGTATCGGAAAGTAAGTTGAACTGAGAACATTTCATCGTTCCCATATATTATATATATATATATATATATATATATATATATATATATATATATTTAATATTGAAATGTAAATTCAAGAACAATTTAACCATTAAAATATTCTTTATAGCATTAACGCGTATGCAAGCATGAAAACTATATTTTTGCCTTTATATGGTTATACATCGATATTGCAAACATGCATACAAAGATAGGCATGCATGTGTAAATTTCCTGGAACAAAGGCGTACATATCCATATTTCTGCTCGCAAACAATATATATATATATATATATATATATAATTTTGTTAGGTATTTTTTCTAATTGAAATATATTATGCTTACATCGTCCAATGAAGACAGCCTTTCCCAGATATTGATTTTCAGACCAAGCTAAAAAACGGTTTCTGTTCAGCTGAAAATAACATTTACAACTCGAAGCTGTATCGATATTATTACCATTATTATTATTTTGACTTAGTAGTAGTAGTAGTAGTAGTAGTAGTAGTAGTAGAACAACTGCTTCGGGAAGAGAAGGAGAGGTAAAACAAGATTTCTGGGCAAGTAATTTGACAATGTAACATTAGAGGTAGTAGTAGTAGTAGTAGTAGTAGTAGTTATTCGTGATGCAATCCTTTGGAACGACACTAATAAGATGACACAGTTCTCTTTCTGTTTTATTTTAACCAAATTTTTTCTACTCATCGCAAGGTCAACAAAAATGGGAGATAAGAAAAACAAAAGAAATACCTTCAGTACGAATATTGAATGGTTGGCCTTTAAAAAAAATCCTCATTAGGTCGAGCTTATAAAAACGACAGAAGATAGATAGATAGATAGATAGATAGATAGATAGATAGACGGATACGCCTCTACACAAACTGGAGTAGCCTAAATCAGAGTTATCAGGTTGTATTATCTAAAATTCGCGCTGGACAAAAAAAGGGTTTTTTTTTTGTTAGCGACAACAATAGTTAATAAGAAGACATTCAATGGATTCGACTAACTGCGCCCTCTGGGAATGAATTGGAGAATATAATTTTCCGTATAGGTTGTTGGTCATCACACACACACACACACACACACACACACACACACACACATATATATATATATATATATATATATATATATATACTTTAAAGAAAAAACAGACCACTTTAAGGTTCCATTGTTAGAATTTATTTCACCAGAGATTTTATTTTTTCTCTGGATCTTCAGACTTCACTTTCAAGAGTGAAAAAAATGAATTTAAAATTTACACTTTTGAAGGGCAGTATTAAACTTATATAAGGTGACATAGAGGGTGGTGACGAATAGTATGAGAGACATGGTTGAAATTAAAGATGGAAGGGTGAGTTAAAATCTATTTTTATTTTTATTACAATACTTAATATTGAGGAGGAGGAGGTAAGGATCAGACATTGACCTATTTAATCGGTCAACTCACCGGAAATGAATGGGAAAAAAGAAAAACGGGGGGGGGCAGTAAAGAGATAAGAAATAAGAGATGGACGTAAGGTTTCGAAGGGAGGAGGAGGGGTGGTATAGCTTGATGTTTGGGCAATTTAGAAAAACACAATTTTTAACGTTTGATAGTAATTTAAATATTTAAATACACCACAAATAAACTAGATTTAATTTAATTAAGTATTTTAAATATTTAACTTCTCTACTAACAAATTAGGGATTTAATATAAACTGAATATTATATTAATACACAAATACAAAAATAAAACGTTACTAATAGTAATATCTTAATATTGTGAATGACGGTTAAGGGAAAATCTTTTTTTAGTTAGAGTCTAATTCATCAATTTAATCGGAAGCTATTTTTAAATGAGTAATATTCCTTAATTAAAGTTTAAGTTTCAAATTAAGATGAAGGAAGATTTGAAGATAATAATAAAAGAATTTACTGTTTTTACATACACCTACCACATACATATTTGCGTAAATAAACATACATATATTCGTATACATGTACAATTACATATATAACCACATACACATGTATCGATACACATCAGTATACACGCACATACATACACAAATATTTACATATACATATTTCCACATGCATCCATCTTTATACATATTTAAATTTTCAAAAATTTTAACTTTCAAAAAAAAAATATATTTTTTTAATTTTAATATTTTTAATATCGTGAATAATGGTTAAGGAGTAATATTTTTTAATTTAAATCTAAGTGATCAATTTAAACTGAAATTATCCCCAAAAGAGTCAAATTTCTAATTTATCAAGTCTAATTAGAAATTATTTCAAGATGAAGTAAGATTAGAAGGTAATACAAGAATTAGAAGATAATAAAGAAATTTCTGTCTTTACATTAAATCTCTATTTATACAAACATACACGCATATATATATATATATATATATATATATAATTATTTTTATAAAAAAATTTATAACATAAGTATGTTATAAAATCACTACAAAAATAGCCATTTTGTTTCAACACACTCTGTGTCTTATCAAGTGATGGTGTTGAAAAGAAAATAAATGGTTTTAAAAGTTTCAGATTAATTAACGATCCTACACTAGGGGGAGCATTGTTACAAAAGCTAGAATAACCAATCAAAAACGAAGTACAGAAAGATTCAAAAGCTCGACAACAAAATCCTGCTATTATAGCTATTTAGATCTTTAAATACGTGTAATATTAAAAAATAATTTTTTTACTAACTAATAATTATAAATTTATATGATAAAATTTAATATTAAAATTAAAAACTGGCAATTTTTAAAATCCAAATTTAATCACTATTAAGTTTAAAAACTACAAAATTATTGAGAAAAGAAAAAAATATATATGTTTATTCCATTCATTTCTTCATTGAAATATATATATATATATATATGCATATGACTATATCTTGTACATATATATATGCATATGACTATATCTTGTACATATATATATGCATATGACTATATCTTGTACATATATTCATATACACCACATATATAATTCCGTAAATATATATATACACATATACATATACAAATAAATATGCAACCCCATACACCTGATATATGGATATATGTGTATATGTATATACATCTGTATATGTATATGTGGGTACGTGTGTAAATACGTATATATGTGTGTGTGTATTTGTAAAGTTAGGTAGGTATATATATATATATATATATATATATATATATATATATAATGGACTCTCCCGTCGGTTTCGACGTATGAAGATCTGACAGCTTAATTGATTGAGTCATGAAATTTTGTGTGATATTCTTAAGTGGCACTTAAGACCCGCTAAGTATTAACAAAGGAGGCCATATATGGAGCAAGTGTAAGGATTGTGAAATGAGATCACTGTTAGATTGGCTGGCCTTTTAGATCTTGTTCTCGCTTCTTGAAGATGATTCTCGCTTCTTGAAGATATATATATATATATATATATATATATATATATATATATATATATATATATCGATTCAGGTGTATTGGGATTTCGAATTCTTTCAGGATCTCCTAACATATGCCAAATGAGCAAAATAATATTAATATAAGGCAAATTTTAGTAGATAACACCAAAATTTTATATAGGACACGATGCAAAGAAAGACTCCAAATGCTGGAGGCTGTTGTAATAAAAAAGAAGCAGCCATCATTGAATTTGAGACTGTATATTGAATTATGTTTTAAAGAAAATATATAGATAAAAATTTCCTTTGACCGTTTAAATGATATCACCTTGAGTGACTTCAAAATGTTTCTATCCAACGTGACAACACCGAAATTATAGAAAATGAGTTGCGTAAATATACACAAAACGCAATCCTTGAAAAACAATGTAGCAACATTCGAAAGTACTCGGGGAAAATTATATATATATATATATATATAATTATTTATTTAGAAAATTTATAACATAAACATGTTATAAGATCACTACAAAATAGCCATTTTGTTTCAACACACCCGGTGTCTTATCAAATGATGATGTTGAATGCAAAACAAATGCTTTTAAAAATTTGTTGGTTATTGGAATTCATTCCGTATACACCAATTATATATATATATATATATATATATATATATATATATATATATATATATTAGTTAGTTAGTTTATGAAAAACTAGGTAATCCGTATGGGTAAACCTAAGGAGGATAAAATCCAGAGAGCTCAATGTAAATCCAGAGCAAATAATTTAAATAAAAACAGACCCCTTTAAGGTTCCATGTTATAAATTATAATATTAATTTACATATGTTTAATACGGCCCGTCAAAAATGTGTAAATTTTCTTTTCGTTTTTTTGTTTGGAAGTAAAGTCTGATGATCCGCAGTCCTTTAAAAGGGCTGTGAAGAAATAATTTATTACATGGAACATTAAGTGGTCTGTTTTTATTTAAATTATATATATAATTTTGCACCAGTAAGAACCTTATATTTTTTCTGGCTGTAACCTAAGGCTATTGACGAACGAATCAGAAATGTGAGGTGAGAGGTGATCAGTCAAACGGACGTCTCTTTCGCGTCGCTGAGAGGCGATCTTCTGGTCTCTTTCTCGTCTCTCTGTCTTCGGCTGATCATGACCATTGTCTTATAGAAAACATTGTTTCTTGTCCTGTCGTTTCTATCTAAGAAAAAGTCATTTATCGTTGTTCAGCAACCCGCTTTGTCAGAGCAGTTTGGCATGATACTTGTGAAGTCCACTTCACGTAACCAATAGTCATCAGGAAAACAAATGCCTACCTCGGATGTTTTCATTTAACAAGATAATGGCTGACGCTGATATCGCTACATTTTCTAGATAACGAAATTTGACATTTCTTCAATTGAATATTTGTTCATTTGGGAAGACAGTGGTGCTGGCACAAAAGGATTTTAACCCGTTCTCTTTCTAGCTGAATAATTCAAAGTATTTTTCAATAATTCTTAAGACAAATGGCATGAAGATGGCTAAACGTTTTATCTGGAAACTGTAAAAAAAGAAACACGATTTGTTTAGCTTTTTTTTATATATTAAACCTTTTGTGGAATGGAAATTAAGCTGTATATATATATATGTGTGTGGTGGGGGGAGTTTTAATTGTTCCAACGAGAGTTGCCAACAACCCAGAAAGGAGTTCAAGGCTCACTAAAAAATACAGAAAACGAACATTGCGACATTAAAAGAACATAAGGAAAATTTATTCCTTTTAGAAATTTATTCCATTATTTGCCTGAAGAAGGTCACGGGACCGGAAACTCGTGTAGCAGAAATATGAAGAATAGAATATAATTTATATACTAAAACAAATCCACATTATAATCAAAAATTTTTGCAATTTTTTTTCTTTCTTAATATATATATATATATATATATATATATATATATATATATATATATATATATGTGTGTGTGTGTGTGTGTGAGAAAAGAGTAAAAAGAAAGAGTAAAAAAATACACATATAATTAACAGAAAACATAATGAACAGACTTAGATAGATAGATAGATAGATAGATAGATAGAAACAGATTGAAATAGATTATGCTGGCTATATATCATTAAAGTAGAAATAGTCTGTGCAGCCTACTTACTATGCTGATAGGGACAGATACTTTTTTTTGCTATCCTCGTAAGCGACATCAGGTTTGTGTCAAATGTCAAACAGATCAGAACCTTAATTGTGACTGATTGTGTGTGTGTGTGTGTGTGTGTGTGTGTGTGTGTGTGTGTGTGTGTGTGTGTGTGTGTTTACATTATGATTTCTCTGCCATGAATCACGCGAGAAAAAGGTCTGTGAGTAATGCTGGAGTGACACACTACTTTCGTCACGGATAGATAGTATGTTGCAAAATTTCCATTGACGAATTGAAAAGAAAAAAAAAATTTCATGAATGAGATGATCATCTGAGAAGTCAGCACTCGGGAAAGCAAACTGAAAATAATAGAAAAAGACAATGCAGTACAAGCGCCATTTTTTTCCGATGAGGATGCATTTCGTGTATTAATTAAGTACGTGTTGTTTATCGCTGCCGATTTTATTTGATTTTCCATTGGTAATAGTAGCAACAATACTTTTACTTGTAATATATTTTCACTGTCTAGTAATTACCGAATGTGTTCGCTATGTCTTACATATAAATACACATGTACAAATTGTATTTTTATAAATGTAAGAGCCTTAACTAAAACAAATTTTGATACATTTTATGTGTAAAGATACATTTTATTAAAAAAACAGTAATAAACTTAATTCTTATTCTAACAGAAATTAATAATTTTTTTTTTCATTTTAACTGATGAAAAAAGTATTCGTACAAAACAAAAAAAAGCATATTAACTTAAATTAATACTTTTTGGAATATCCTTTATCCAACAGCTACCAATATATTCCTGTACGTCTCAACTAATGATTTGCACACATTTTGTCCCATTCTTCTTGGCATATTGACTTCAAATTCTTGATATTTGTTGGTGCTCTTTTCCCAATTTGAATTTTCAAATATCGCCATAAATTCTCAATTGGGTTCAAGTCTGGGGACTGACTTGGCCATTGCAAGACATCAACGTTACTTTCAGCTAACCATTTCCTTGTAGATCTAGCGGTATGCTTAGGATCATTATCCAGTTGGAAAACCCAATCAGGAGGTCGCCGAAGTTTCTCAACAGAACGCATTAAATTGTCTTGCAGGATTTTCTGGTATCTTTCGGCATTCATCTTGCCATCTGTTATTGATATTCTGCCAACACCTTTTGCAGAAAAACAGCCCCAGATCATGATACTGCCACCATTAAACTTTACAGTTGGCAACGTGTTCTTTGGTAAGAAGGCTTCACCGTCCTTCCTCCACACATGATTTCGATAATTATGACCAAACAACTCTATTTTAGTTTCATCTGTCCATAGTACTTTTTCCCAAAACGAATATTCTTTATCCTTATGCTCTCTAACGAATTTTAGCCTAGCATCTCTGTGTCGTTTCAAGAGGAGTGCAGTCTTCCTTGGGATGCGTGATTTCAGACTGTTTTGTGTAGTTCATTACTTATTGTATGCTTGGTTACTTTAATCCCTAATGCACGCAGATGTTCCTGAAGCTCTTCTCGGGTAACCTGTGGATTTTGTTGGATCTGGCGTCCTAATATCCTTGCTTATCTTATAGAAAGTCTTTGGTTTTCGACGCTGTTACGAGTTTTAAACCTTGCAATCAACGAAGCAATTGTAGTAAAAGGAATATTCAGGTTGTTAGAAATCTTTCTGTAACTGTTCCCATCTTTCCAAGGAGACGAAATGTGTTGTTTTTGTGAAATAGTCAATTCTTTACCTTTAGGCATTATTAGAACCTTCTCGTAAGACTAGAAATTGCAGAATGCTCTGATAATGGCTAATAGCGTTAACTATAATTACTGATAACATTATTGGAACATTCTAGAATATACTTTTTTCATAATTAATTGATTATTTTATTCTACTAATTGATTTTTACGAATACTTTTTTCACCAGTTAGAAATAAAAAAAAAACTGCATTAGTTTCTGTAAGAATAAGAATGAATTAAGTTTATTATTATTTTTTAATAGTATGCGTATACATAAAATGTGACGAGATTTGTTTTAAATAAGGCTTTTACATTTATAAAAATACAATTTTTCAAGTGTATGAATATTTATTTCCCCCCAATGTGTATATATATATATATATATATATATATGTGTGTGTGTGTGTGTGTGTAAACATTGAAGTCAACACTTAGAGGCGACAGTCTGTTTCATGCTAGACGCAATCGTCAGGTCACCGAATGCGTCTAGCATAAAACAGCCTGTCGCCTCTAAGCGTTGACTTCAATGTTCACTTTTATATTTAAATACGCTCTATCTCTGATACTGAGCACTTTATGCCATAAATATAGCACACCTTAAGTCTATATTTCTTCATATATATATATAAGTGTTGACTTCTATGTTCACTTTTATATATATATATATAGTCATACACACACACACACACACACACACATATATATATATATATATATATATATATATATATATATATAAAATAAAAATATGAACATAGACGTCAACACTTAGAGGCGACAGTCTGTTTCATGCTATATGCAATCGTCAGGCCATATATATATATATATATATAGTCATCCACAGACAGAATGTTTCGCTGTATCACAGCTCATCGGTGTGGCTAGACTTCCGATCGCTTCAAGCCGGTATCGAAACCCAACCGACAGTTGGTATCAGTCGGAGATTCTAACCCCTAAGCTATCGACGCCCGCCGGGGACAGGTTATGACTTTTTCCCTTTTTGTAAAATAATTGATTTCCTGTATCACAATTCGATGAACTTTAGTTTAAAAATAACGAAGAATTGTTTGTTTTTTTTTTCCTGAGAACTTCCTGCAGCCTTCTAAAATTTATGGAATCTTCTAGAACTTGTTTTTGTTTATTTGTAAGGTTGTATGTTATGCTATAGCTATAAACTGTTAAATGCGTTAAAAAATACATAAGTACTATTCAGTTCCATCATTAGTAAAATTGAAAATTAAAGCTTCGGAAATAATTTGATTTTTTACCCTAATTCGTAAATTGGAATTTTCGGTTTGCGGGGAGACATTTTTCAAGAACTAAAACAAATTAATGTCTTTTTCATTATTTTTTGAACATTTATATATAAAACAGGAACAGAGGCTTACAAAAAGTCATAACCATAATATATATATATATATATATATATATATATATATATATATATATATAACAAAAACAAAATGTCCTTAGCAACTGGAAGAATTTAGAGAACGCTATTTTCATACTGTTAACTGAAAATTACGTTATTATTAGTTACTTTGTTTAAATAAATTCATTTCATTTTTTTTGCCTTAAGGAAGTCCACATTGGACGAAACGCGTCGGCGACTACTATAGTTTTCCTGTTGTCATTTATATTGTCTTTTCTACAGGTTAACTCTGAGAAATTTTCATATATATATATATATATATATATATATATGTGTGTGTGTGTGTGTGTGTGTCGGTGTGTGTATTTAGACAGCAATTCTTCTTTCATGCACATTACATTGAATACGACAGACAAGGTGTTTTGATTTAGTTTTTTTATACAATTTCTCATGCGATCTAATAATTTTTTTTCTTTTCAGATGATAAATTATATAAAAACTGTCCGAATGTTCTTTTTTTTTTTAGGGCTTTCGGCTATACATTTAACCATTTTCAAGGATTAAATATTTTAATGGTTAAATAAGAAATAGTTTGTTGCATGTATGTATTTATATAATGTTTTCATTTTTCAAAAGCATCTTGTCAGTCGTATTCAATGAAATCTGGAGAGGGACAATCCCAGTGTACGGCACCTTTGGAAAGTGCCTGAACACCATACCACGGGCTGACCCAAGACTTGTGTGTCAAATTAGGTAGACGGAACCCTTGGGTGCCGTCGATAGCTGTGCTAGCACGAAGTCAAAAGTCATCGTGACCGAGGGCCTGAGTGTGCTGGCTTTGTTCAGATTGTTGATCAAGCTAGATAACACGCTCTTTCCCATAAACTGTAAATCTGCTCAGTATAGTTGCAGTATAGACCACAGGTGGGCTCTGTGTGACGTCACCCTGGTACTGCTGCTGTGCTATCCTTGGCTGGTTCAGATGGAAATCTGGTTAGATTCGATATCAGCTTTGTCGTTCCCAGCTCGCTTCCAACGTCTGGTTACCGAAGTAACTGCTTTGATTTCTAGTCTAACCTACATACGTTGTGATTTGATCTTAGGTAGACGAAATCAATAAGGCATCGGGCCGTAGTGCAAGCTGAATCCGGGGCAAAGGTGATACCGCACAAGTATATGTAAAAGAAAATAATGTAACAACTCAAAAGATTCAAATGTGTTGAAAACAAAATAACAAGTATCTTTATATCTGTTTGCTGAATACAGGACTGTGTCTTTCTCCCAAACCGCTTCTATGGATTCGTGACACTTTGCGTTTCTTAGGCGAGTCTTAATATCTTAAGTTGTTTTTCAATAAACTGGTTTTTGGTATCTTCAGGCGATATTCGTAAAACTTGTTTTGGTGGTGTGAGTCTAAGTCGTTCTTCAAAATAAAATTGTTTTTGCTTAGAAGTCTAAGTCGGAATGCGTGGAAATCTTTCAGTCAGCTCCTGCGAGACTAGTCTCCGAGCTCACAGCTCAACTGCAACTCAACTCTGTGACTCCAACTGTCGCCAAATGTATTTACTCTGGGGACGTTCGTTTATATGGACGCCGACCAAAACCGGGTGGAGGCCTGTCGTAGTTTGGGTTCCTCGATAATTCCAAATCCGCAATAAGGATTTTCTTTGTTTTCGGACAGGAAAATTTATCACTTCCCATTTTTGGAAGTCAATTACTTTCTGTTTTAGAGGGGTTCTTAAGGGAATTGTCCTCCTAAACTCCTCCTTTCTCATATTGGTATCTCACACCAATCTCCTCAGAGGGCGTCAACAGGTTTCCCTTCTTTCTCATATGTTTACCTTCGCCCATCGCTCACGCCACCATTCAACCAATGAATGCTCGGCAGTGTGGGTGTCTCTAGACTGGCCTCAGTTTACAATTATCGCTCAAAGAAAAAAATTATCTTCCCTTTTCTTTCTTTTCCATCGGCCAGACCCCCACGAATCGTACTGTGGACATTAAATCTTTATTTTAACTTGATGTCATCTGGGATTCATTAATGGGATTTTCGCCGACTTATTATCTGGGTGGTCAACTGAATCTCTTTGTCTTTCTTAACATCATCGCATTCTGTCGCCAACAGCTTGTCCAGGTAACAAACTTTTATCATGACCAGTTCTGGACATACAACAGATTGTTCTCCTTCCAAAACCAAATGATATCTCCGAAAGATAGTTAATGGTTTATTCTTTTTCTTTTTTTTTCTTTTTCCTTCCTTTTTCTTTGGGGTGGTCTCACCTAATTCTTTCTCGGTTGCATGCTTGACCCAATTTTCGATTATCTTCTAGCATTCTGCTTTGTAAGCCTCTTGACCAAATTGAAATTTTCATTATTGCCATGGGTAGATTGTTATCTTTTACCCGTATTCTGTTTTTCCTTGTCGCGTCATGGCATAAATTAATTCTGACAGATCCGAGATCTGACCAATTTTCTATCTTCTGCGAAAAAAAAATACCTTTCTTCGCAAATGAAAATAAAATCTTTACCTCATCGCTCAGTATGTCTTGCGTTATAGCTTTTTTTCTCGCCTTAAGTATTTCACGCTTTTAATTTCCATGCTTAATTAGTTAGCCAATTACCATAGCTAAATAGTGTCACGTCTGTGGGTGTTGAACAAACACAAATCTGCCTGAGCGAGCGTCTGAATTAGGGATTGGCCAGCCGCCCTAGAAGACCAGTATCTTCGAATACGAGTGGCCAGCTATTATATATATATATAAGAAATAATTGTGTGTACAGGTATACGTCAAAAAGAAAGGTCTATGATGTGAATATGTGTGTGTGTGTATTTAAGTATATATAATGCTATGCAATTATATGTATACATGTATATACATGCATACAAAAAAAAACTCCAGTATATGTATATGCCCCGTTGGGTGTGTATGTATGTCCTCGTATGTGCAAAAACATATTAAAGAAATTTATTTAAAATCCAACAATACCAAACGGCTCTAGTATAGATATAGATAAAAACAAATAGACAGGAAGACACACACTCTCTCAAGTCGGGACATTGGGAAGTGATAAGCTAAGGTAATATAATTTCTGACAGTGTGATTTTTATTGTGTATTTCAGAGTTTACTTGGGAAAAACTGTAAATAACAAATTTGGGTATCTATCTATTGCCATATTTGTCACGTTTCGGCCCTTCAGTATCTGTCTAAATTCCTGAGCTGAGGAATTATGTACATTATTTGCATTATTCGGACTATTGTCCTCATCTTTGTCACCATATTTATTACAACGTTTCGGCCTTTCAATATCTGTCTATATTTCTGAGATGAGGTATTATGTAAACTGTTTACATTATTCGGACTATTGTCCTCATCTTTTCGCCATATTTATCACAACGTTTCGGCCCTTCCGTATCAGTCTATATTTCTGAGCTGAGGTATTATGTAAACTATTTACATTATTCGGATTATTGTCCTCATCTTTATCGCCATATTTATTAAAACGTTTCGGCCCTTCAGTATATGTCTATATTTCTGAGATTAGGTATTATTTACACTATTTACATTATTCGGACTATTGTCCTCAGCTTTGTCGCCATGTTTATCACAAGGTTTCGCCCTTCATCAGGTGGTTGGAATGCCGAACTGAACTAGGCCAAATTTAATGTGGTGATATCTGAGCCCGTGAGCTCGGGCAAAAATTGCTCGTAGACCCCCGCATACGCGGGATCGGGTATTTGTCTATCCCCCGGACGGGACTCTACCCTTCAGCATAATCTCGTCCGGGTTCATCTCCGCCCGAAATCAGAGAGTTCGGCACGGCAAGAGCTTCCCACGATGACAGCTCACGCTGCAAACGTAGGCAGCATATTACCCCCACTTACAAAAGTGTCCAACGTGTTTATGAGGATTGGGACATACCCATTCGTGTTCGTAGGTACGGTATATAATAGGTATTTATTACTAGAACACGCTACCTCCACAAAATGTAAGAAGGTTCCACTCATCGTTTTTCTCAAAAACCGCCACTTTTTTCACAGACACCTCCGTGGGCACTTTCTTGATCACTGCAATCTTGTCCAGTTCATCAGGACGATGCCTATATCTGGATTTCAGCCACTTTTAATTCAACTATCTGAGTCCATTTTTTTTTTTTTTTTTTGGAGGCGGGCCAGCTATCCTATCTGATCATGGTCACCATTGTATCAATCAAAACTGATTTCAGACTCGGCCACCAAAAAAGTCAGCCCTACATAGATGACAAAAAAAATATCGTAGCACATCTGCTGAGAACCAAGAAACTGTGAGAGAAATCATTAATTACGTTTGTGGACACTAGAAAATAACGGGAAGTATGTAAGTAATTACATTATATTGTCGAGTATTGACAAAAATATATTATAAAGCATCTTCACACACGGAAAGCACAACGCCGATATATATATATATATATATATATATATATATATATATATATATATATATATATATATATCTGTACGTATTTTGAACATGACATCTCCGAGAAGACAAGCAGAGCAACAAGACAAAATAAAAACTCATTCATCCAATTTAAATGAGAACAAGAGAAAAACAAACTCGAGAATATATTTATTCTCCACAGATTACTTTATTATTATGTTTATCTCTCTATCTCAGCTTGTTATCTTTCTATTTATCAATCGACAGGGAAAGAGTGTGAACCGGGTGAAAGGTAAACCTATGGCCACCAATAATGAATCCTTCTAGGATTTATAATTCTCTCAGGGTCGCCGCAATGATACATTAGTATAATATAGGCAACAAGGACAAATTTGCACATCTATCTATCTATCTATCTATCTATCTATCTATCTATCTGTTATGGGACCTTACCCATAATAACATAATGGACTATTCCATACGTAATAAATACTGCGCCTCAAGAGGAAGCAGGGAGTTCAGTCTGAAGTCTGGAGTGAGGTCCGTCAGAAGTCTGTCAGTCAGTCAGTGCGAGCGAGTCTGTCAGTCGAGTCATAGGCAGACCGAAACAGAGTCGCGTTCAGACAATTACTACAATACATTGGAATAGTGATCCTGGTCGAGACTACATTGTTCTCCCTACTAAACCTGATTGTTCGTACTAACACTTTTTACTTCTCTGTATATATTCCTGTTTGTAATATATCTGTGTTATTCCATATCCGTGTTCGAGTTCTTCTTCATTGGTTCTACTTTGGACTATCACCGTGGTACAAGGAACCGAACCATAACACTATCTATGTCTGTTTATATCTTTCTCAATATCTAAATTACTTCATATCACTCACTCACTCAATCTATCTATCTATCTATCTATGTCAGTTCATATCCATCTATCTATTTATGTCTGTTCATATCTATCTATCTATCTATCTATCTATCTATCTATCTATCTCATCTCAGTTGACTATCTACCTATCTATCTATCTATCTATCTATCTATCTATCTCAGTTGGCTATCTTCGTCCTGGTTAATACGTTAAACTACATTCGCGTCCTGGGTAAGACGATAAATTACGTCCAGCAGCAAGACCTCTGATCAGGAGGTTTTGAGGTGCGTGGGACCACCTCTTAATTGCTGGTGTTCCCAGGTCCACCCTGACCCGGGGTTGTAGCACCTGTTAGGGTCCCGGCTATGGGCTAATAGTTAACTATTACCAGCAATACTTTTTTGAAAAAAAATATTACCAGCAATACAATTTTGAAGGAAAAATATTACCAGAAACAGATTTTTGACAAAACAAAATATTACCAGCAATAAAAAAAAATGTTGTCCGCATTAAATATCCCCTTGAGGTTGATATGCCGTAAAACAAAATAAACCAAACCAATCTAAACCAAAGAATACACATTCTATTCATACGAATCTATCCTAAATATCTTGTCGGCTTTAAATAACCCACTAATGTTGATATGCCGTAAAACAAAATAAACCAAACCAAATCAGTTGGCTATCTATCTATCTATCTATCTATCTATCTATCTATCTCAATCTGTTCACTATCTATCTATCTATCTATCTATCTATCTATCTATCAGTTGATTATCTATCTCAGTTGGCTACTAGTCTATCTATCTATCTATCTATCTCAGTTGGTTATCTATCTATATATCTATTTCATTTGGCTATCTATTGGTCTGAAGACCTAATAATATACAATATATATTATTTTTATTATTATTGTTATTATCATTATTATTGTTGTTTTTCATCTCTCGAAAATATTCCCAGAGCCAGCCAGGCTACATAAAATTTATGTGGAATTCTTATTTAGAAACTGTACGCATGGTTGTGTTACTTCGTCTCATGCTTCTCGGCATTTTGTGAATATTTTTTGTAGAATAAAAAAAAAGAAAGAATTAACCTCGGATAGGAAGGTAAGTCCTACTTCGAAGAGTGATCTAAAGGAAAGCCTTCATGCATGATCGGAAGCTGCTTTTGAAATTTGTTTCAGCAACTCTCACTTCGATAAATCCCAGATTAAAGACGGACAGCTAAAGCAGGGAAAAAATCAACTAAAGTAGTGTGTTGTCTGCTTTTCTGAATTCAGAGCTCGTTTTAATGCAAAGCAAAAGCACTCACGACAAAACAAAAAGTATATACTATTCCTTATGAATTCATTATCTGTTTTGAACGCGATGTTTAAAATTCAAGATGGTTGACATCTTCTTCAAGAACTCTATGTCAATGTGTGTATCCTCAGCGTTCACACTGCGAGAGTGTAAGAGCAGAGAAAAAATGTTGACGATTTACAGTTTTTCAAATCGAAGTTCACAGTTATGAATTCGTAATTAGTATTTAGCAGATGCTTCAGTGAAACCTCGGTTCACGAATTTAATTCGTTCCTGAAGTCCATTCGTAACCCGAAATGTTCATAAACAGAAACTATTTTCCCAATAGAAATCAATATAAAATGGATTAATCCGTTCCTCGTACAAAGATGATTGCTTATTTAAACTTTAACAATAGTACTTTGTGCACAAATTTATACACAAAACAAATGAAAATCATTAAATCTAAGAAAAAAAAACCAATACTAAACAAATAAAATATAGACAAGCACTTTAATTTTACCGTACCTGTAAGCAGGAGAGTTGATGGCGTAAATGGAAGGGGAAGGAAAGAGATGTTATTGTTTGGAAAAAGGAAGGAAAGACATGATCATCTCTTTATTTATAAGAATAGTATAGATCGTTGATTTTACCATATGAAACTTAATAGGAAGAGACAATATCATCAAAAATTGTTTTTCTCTTAACTTTTCTTTTTCCTTTACCAATATCATTGCTAGCTTTCTTTGGAACCATGACTGCGGTCTAATGAAGAGAAAAAAGGCACGGTACAATAAAGTTGGAAAAGAAAAGCACAGAACAACACACGAATGTATACAACATGGCGGTCGACTCAGAAATTATTTCGTTCGGGTTAATTCAGTTCGGCTCTGTTCGGCTCTGTTCGGCTCTGTTCGGCAATGTTGTTCGAGAACCGAAATTTTGTACGATAACCGAGGCATTTTCATCTCGAATTTTCTGTTCGAAAACCGATTTGTTCTACATGTGAGACGTTCTAGAACCGACGTTGCTGTTTATCTAGAAAGTGTTTCAACTGAGGACGTAAAGTGCGACATTAAAATCCGAAGGCACCTTGCGAGGGTGAAAGATGACTTAAAAGCTAAGCAAAATATTAAAAAAATGAAAATTTCATTGGGAAAAATGACAATTGAGATTTTAATGTTCTAACCAAAGTATAAAGAAACAGGAAAATCTCGCTAGAAACAAAGAAAAGAGTATTGAAGAGTTCTATAATATCTATATTGCAAGTGAATGCTGGACAATCTTCTCAGTTCGGCTAGGTTCGGCTAGGTTCGGCTAGGTTCGGCTAGGTTCGACTCGGTTCGACAATGTTGTTCGTGAATCGAAATTTTGTCCGATAACTGAGACATTTCCTCTCAAATATTCTGTTCGAAAAGCGATTTGTTCGATATGTGAGACGTTCGTGAACCGAGGTTGCACTGTGTTTTGGCGACATTTAGTCTCTGAAAAAATCTACTCAGAATTTAAAACAAAATGTGCAGGTAATGGGAATTCATAAATTACCAAGAAGCCGTGGTAATTCATAAATTACCAAGAATTCATGGTAATTCATAAATTACCAAGAATTCATGGTAATTCATAAATTACCAAGAAGTCATGGTAATTCATAAATTACCAAGAAGTCATGGTAATTCATAAATTACCAAGAAGTCATGGTAATTCATAAATACTAAAGAAAAGAAACCTGTGGAGAACCGTAATCGCTTATGTCCTGATCGGAAAAGGAAAACTCAGAGTAGTAGGCAACGGCAAACAAGTTCACTCAGACATGGCAATTCTCAGATAATAATAATAATAATAATAATAATAATAATAATAATAATAATAAAGTAATTTGGGGAGAGCCACGATCGTCCACGTCCTGAAGGGATATAGGATTAGAAAAATCCAGAAAAGTAAATTTTCTTTCAACCTGCAAGGGAAGATTTTTTAACTCACATGAAGAGAAAGAATCAGAATCTACTGCGAAGACCAGGTGCCATAGTTAAATTGATACTTGCATAAAAACCGTCAAAAATCAGTATCAATCGCCACTTCGTACTAGAATCTGTGTATCACCTGTGAACTCTGTCAAAAATGTAATAAATACAATTATATATATATATATATATATATATATATATATATATATAAACACTGAAATTATTGGGGGATTGAAAACAAATCCAATTAAATCATCGAGTATAGAAGAAACCTCAGCAGAATGCAGAAAAGACTGGACAGCCGTTTCGTCCTATTTTTGGGACTCATCAGCAGTGCGCATCCACTAGCGAGAATCATTACCGAGGCTCGTTGGTATGTTGCTTGCGCCGTATCGTAACTTTCCGGGTTTGCTGACAAAAAATCCCTATTAAACCAATTAAGTGAATTAACTGTTAATTGCCGACACTTTAAATTACCTGATAATATAGTTAAATTTTGAAAATTACTTATTACCTTTTCTTATAGCCATAATTTATTAGTATATTATGGTCCACCCTCTACATATTCAGCTTTAATAATGTTATGTATTGCCGTCCAGTTAGAATATGAAATATCTATATAAGATATTAATAAATATCTTATATAGATGTTCCACATTTTTAATTTTATCTACAGACCCCTTTAAGAAGCTTCCTGAATATAAAAATTAAAAAAAAACTTTTCTTTTAATTTTACATCTGATAATCCTACCCCTCCCTTCAACGCCCTTTAAGAAAATTGACCATGTCATATTTATGTAGAATCTAGCCGCTTACATATTCCCCCACAATTATCAATGATGGTCTGTCTATGTTCCGGTTTATCATGGCGTGAAAAAATCACTCACCCACCTTCACACTCTGAGCTAACTTTTCTATTTAGCGCAGATCTGACATTTAATTGGTTAATCAAGACATACCCACAAGTCTATTTTTAGTTCCGACTTTATCCCCCCACCGCCTTTAACTTTCGGGAAAGAGGTAAAATTTTGTTTTTAAATTTTCTTAAAAATCATTTAATCACCAGTGACTTACCATCGCCTGAAGAAGTACAATCAAAGTATTGAAACATGAAAGCTTTAGCATCGTGATTTCAACATGTTTTTATTATAATCTCTTATAATCATAAAATAATAATAATAATAATAATAATAATAATAATATATTGTTCTTCTTTGTATTGAGCACTTTTTTAAAAGTAAATGTTACGAACAGTGGAAATTTACTCCGTATGTTCTTTTTCGCATTTGGAGATAGATAGATAGATAGATAGATAGATAGATAGATAGATGATGGCTGCCACTTAATTCTCAAGTTTAACGAACGCAAGATTAAGTTATGACTGACGATATCAATCAATACCTGTGCATGGAATTTTTAAAGTGACGAAAGACCTCGCACTGAGTTCAAGAAGAAATAACTTTTGTTTTTTTTTTAATATATCTGTCAGATAAAAACTTTAGATCATGAATATCAACATTGAGTCTCTAATCAAGCCCCCCTCTCCACTACCAAAAAATATACTCGTGTTACATGACAAAGCAACGTCTTAATTAGCACCTTACGAAGATTCATGTTAAAATTTTTTAAAATTATATTTATATTCGTAAAAGCAAGCATATGGGAATTTAAAGCAGGTGTTTTTCCCTTTTTCATCATTATTATTATCACCATTTTTATTATTATTATTATTATTATTATTATTATTATTATCACTATCATTTTATTAACATAAGATTATAATCATTTTATAATTATCATTTTTTAATATTATTAGCTTTTTTATTATAATATAATTTTATTATAATATTAGCTTTTTTATTATGTTTTTATTATTTTTACTATTGTTATATTTATTATTATTATCATTTTTATTAATATATTTTATTATTATTATTTTACTATTGTTATATTATTATACATTTTATTATTATCATTATTGTTTTTCATTATTGTTATCTTTATTATTTTTGATATTATTAGATTTATTATCATTATTATTATTATTTATTATTATTATCATTATTATTATTATTATTATTATTATTATTATTATTACTAGCATTATATTCTTTATTTCTTATTTCTTTAATGGCTTGAATGGTGAGATCAATTTACAACGAATTTACATAACAAGTTGAACCACCCCCACCACCACCACCACCACCACACCAACCCGCCCCCAACCCGCCCTTGAAATGTTCAAATTGTTTTTTTTTTTGTTTTTTTTTTTATTCGTAATCTGAATCGTTTAATCAATAAAGGTATGATTTTTTTTTATATCCATTTCTTGGAGAGGTGTGTTTCTATAGAAGAGCCCTCGATTTTGACTTAAAGCTGCTGCAATTAATGCTGGAAATCCGCGGTGGTTATGAATAGGTTAATAAAAACAATATCTGCGCGTAAAGTTGGATGATCATAAGCCGGGAACGACAGTGAATGTCTAGAGTTTCTTGTTAATGATGCTCGTTGCTGCAAGATAAATATTATTCAGAACACAGTAAATACCGAGCTTAATCTGAATTAGTCGTGTGCTAAAAAAGTGCGACCGTCTCCCCATCACTGGTATGTCATGAAAAGGAGAGGGGTTGAGTGAGATTTGAAGAAACTTCTCTCGTATAAGTGTTGTGGAAATTTCCAGCGTTAGTTTATGCGTAATGTTAGGTAAATCTCATGCGTTGACTCAGATGTTTGTTGTTAGTGCAATCAATCAATTGCAGCATGTTATTTACAAGCCGTAGTGAATTATCTGATGTTGGGAAAATAAACTCAAGTACACGAACGTCCGTTAGCAATAGAAGCAGTTTTTTGCTCAACACACAAATCGACATTATTGCACAAGATATAAGCAGTTTTTTGCTCGACACACAAATCGACATTATTGCACAAGATATAAGCAGTTTTTTGCTCGACAAAGTAATCAACATTATTGCACAGATTATAAGCAGTTTTTTGCTCGTCACAGAAATCGACATTATTGCACAAGATGTAAGCAGTTTTTTGCTCGACAAAAATCGACATTGTTGCACAAGATATAAGCAGTTTTTGCTCGACACACAAATCGATATTATTGCTCAAGATATAAGCAGTTTTTGCTCAACACAGAAATCGATATTATTGCTCAAGATGTAAACAGTTTTCGCTTGACACAGAAATCGGCATTATTGCACAAGACTGCACCGGCAATGAAAAATTAATTTATTGCGAGAATTCAAACTAAAGAACACGGTGCTTATATCCAGTACAACGTTCGACAGGTCAACCTAAGCAGAATCTAATGAGGATAAACCTTCGAAGATAATCAGTGTCGAACCCAATCAGTATTTAGATGGGCGGGGGGGGAGATTTCGAACACCAGCTGCCTACAATCCTAAATATATTTCTGCTTTAAATAACCAATAATGGGTTGATAAGCCGTAAAAAACTGTTAATCAATCTTTTGTGTGGTGGAATTAAAAAGGTAATCTTTATTGTGAATTACTGGATACTAGATAAATACTGCAGTAATGCTTCAATGAGCAATTGGCTTTATTGAATGACATATAAGCGAAAAAAGACTTTATCCTGGGTAAAGAAATTGGTTATTTAGCTGCCTGCTTTCATATTGTGATGCAGCAAAGCTAAAATCGTCAACCCATGGCAATGAACATTGGTCAATCTTTAAATATCAATACTTATCGTTCTCTTCTTAACTTAAAAAAGTCATCTTTGTACAAGAAAGTCTCAAGTACTAAAAAATAAATTTATTTTGAGAATTTAAACTGAATTTAAACTGAAGAACATTGAGCGTATATTCAGAACAACTTTCAACATCTCAGGCTAAACTGAATAGGGAAAAATCATATGTTTGATGCTACAATGAGCAATTGGCTCGATTGAATAACATGCCATTATAAGAGGAATGTATGATTATTATATTATATACTAGCTGACGTACCCGGTAATTACCAATTATTTCCAATTCTCGTTCACACATCCTTTCTTCGTTTATCCGAAAGTAACAATTCAAAGTAACTATCACTGAAGGGCAACTGTACGCTCACATTGAATACACAACCGCCACCCCAAGGATTTTTGGAGGAAATACCAATAAGTTATGTATACCAAAATCGTAAAGCGACTTACGTAATAACAGGCAAATCGATTATCCGAAATTAACACTTCAAAGTATGTAAACCTGAAAAGGGCTTTTGTGTGTTCACAGAGAATATATTCCTTAGGAGGACTAGTGTTAAAATAAATTTACAATTTACCAGTTCCACCTTGGGCATAGTAGAAGAATAGATCACTTCCATATTCAATGCTCGAAAATAATAGTGTTATAAACACCCAGTTGGTCTTCCATCAATGTGTGTTCGTTATCATTCTGTATACGCCGTCATTTCCTCGATGTCATAGCTGATCTCCCGCATGTAATCAATTGCAAAATTGTTTGCTGCCTGCCCACGTTAAGGTAGGCCAAATGTGATAATTCCTTGGCCTCCCATAGCTTTCTCTCGGGTACCCAGCTTAACTAATGCCTCATTGTAAATGCCATCATTGTACGTAACAATTTCCGCTGAGGTTTGCCTTTGAATCCTTTGTAGAATGTCCTCTGCCATGCTGGTTTTATGGGTCCCCTAAAGCTAGTAGGGCGCCCAATGCTTATGGGTTACTCAAAGCCACATGTCATCAAGATGAAAAATAGCTGGCGCAGTTGACTTGATGCTCTGTTGACTGTTGCCCCTCCCAGTGTCTGGCCCAGTGGGCATCGTCTTCAACTCGTCCACGTTTGGCGCAGGCTTATCTGTAGGTCGTACAGACTTCTCGGTTATAACTTCGCAAGTCTGTGAACGATGTAGGACTCTCTGAAAGACGCAGAAAGAAGCACTCTTGCTGATTGGGGGCACAGTGAACACCTGCCCGATGGTCCCGCTTCTATAGACAGCATATTCTTCCCAGCTCTCAACTTGTGCTTCTTGCTTGCGCCTACTCCATCTATTGGGTGCCCAGGGGTAGTAGACGGTAACCTCAGCAGTGTTCATGCAAGCACGTCACTTTGGCATAATTTGAAGAAAGCTGTCAAAGTGCTTTCTGTTTTATTCTCAACTACGTTTCGAGAAGTATCTTCTGTGAAATATACGCGCTGGCCTTTTTCAAGACGAATAGCTAGTTTCTCTACTGTTGGATGTCGATCGTGAATTTCGAAGTCCAAGATGCGCCATATTGCCTCGTTAGGGGAAATATATCAGCACAACTGATAGATTATATACAGGGTGTCCATAAAGTTCGTGTGCACTTTAAAAAAATGTATAACTTTAGTTGTATTTGCGATAGAAATAATTTGTAAAAAGGATTAGAAAGAAGTAAATCTATATTTTTTAAGGTTTTATTGAAATTTTATTTAAGTTCACACATGTCTTCCATCATTAGCAATACAAAGGGTAATACGGTTTTGCAGTTCAAGGAAAACATTTGCCAACTGATTTACAGTAATGCCTGAAATCATATTAGTTATTTTAGCTATACTTAAAACTAGGTACATTAAACTTTATAACATTTTTACAGATTATTTCAATCACAAATACAAATAATAAATAAATTTTTAAAGTGCACACGAACTTTATGGACACCCTGTATATAGATTTCAATATTGAATGGAGTGAAAGGTTTAAAATACAATTTTTTATTAAATTTTTTATTTCAGTTTCGCTCTTAGTCGCAATTCGAATTCATATCATTTAATTAAACTGCCAATGAAATTTGAACTCGCTTCTTTGATTTCTCTTTATGAGCCGTTAACCGTTACACTACCATAGAAATATTTTAGCAAAATAATAAAATAAAATAAAATGAATAAGATTTCAAAAGTCATGGCTTCATCATCCATTTTTCAAAGACATGAAAAAATACACTGTCATTTGTTGTAAGGTAGGAGTAAATATATTATGAGGTAGGGGTAAACCTTTTGGGGTGATTTCTGTAAGGTAATTTTTTTGTAAGGTAGGGGTATATCTTTTGTAAGGTAGGGATAAATGTTTTAGCAAGTTAGGGGCAAATGTTTTAGTAAGGTAGCGGTAAATATCCCTAGAGGTAAATAAGGTAGAGGTAAATCTTTTGAAAGCTAAAGGTAATTTTTTAGTAAGGTAAGGGGTAAATATATTATAAGGTAGAGGTAAATCTTTTGTAAGCTAGGGGTAATTTTTTTATAAGGTAGGGGTAAATATATTATAAGGTAGACGTAAATCTTTTGTAAGCTAGGTGTCATTTTTTAGTAATGTAGGGGTAAATCTTTTGTAAGCTAGGGGTAATTTTGTTGTTAAGGTAAATGTTTTCTAAAAGTCGGAGTAAATCTTTTGTAAGGTACGGATAAATCTTTTGTTAGGTAGGGCTAATTCTTTTGTAGAGTTAGGGGTAAATTAGTAAATTAGATATTGATAAATTAGGGTTTCAAATCTACCATAGACACGGTTTATATTTTAAAAACGTTGTTATCTCTTAGCATTTATACGTATGATTTAAATTTGTATTTCTTTCTTTCTCTCAGTTTTGCATATCTTTTTTTTCAATTGGTGTAGATATCTTGGTCGTCTTTTGAACAGGAATAGATGTCTATCTCTTGTTTCCTGTTTAGGACCGGGATTCCGTTCCCTCTCATAAAGTCTTCACATTCTCTTTCCCTCCCAGTTAACCGTTCTTGCGTCTTAGCGGCTTTATTGCCTTACTTGCGGTGAAATGATTAACAAACAGAAACTCGGCGGCCATAATTGTTCAGTAACGGGGACGCTGCAGCAGTAATACGAGAAATCCGTTATGCAGTTTTGATATTGAATTTAAATGACACTGAACAAAGAGATTACATCTCCGGATTATCCCCAGCCGATACGAATTATACAGATTAATCAATTGGATTATGCTTGCGATTTGGGGCCAGGATATCAATACATTTTTCATGACTAAACGGATTACCAGATTAACCTGTTTTAAATGTTTTTATATAAGTATTTTACCAGCTTTGTCTGAACAGTGAAGATCGAACTCACTTCATAATGGACTGCGAGACGATTACACTAACCATAGATTGTTATCCTTCCCAAAAAATGGCCGTTTTTTAAGGCGTGAGCATAAGTGGAATTTTGGGCGCAATATTAACATAATAAGATATACGGATGACACAATGTCGATAGAAGTCACCGAAAGGGAAAAAAATCTACAGCGAAGGAAAAGCAAGAAGAAAGGCGTAAACATCAATTGAAGAAGACAGAAAGAATGGTTGTTAGCAAAAGTGACAGCTCACCATGGGAATTACAAACTGGAGATAGATAGCAAAATTGGAAACAAAGAAAAGATCGTTATGTAATACTGGTCCTCCGGTATGACAGTGAATGATGGACCATCCCATCAGAGACGGAGAAGAGTCTTGAGACACCAGAAATACCAGAAATACCAAAAATAAGCAAGTAGAGAAATGAGCTTAAAACGTAATTTAGCAGAAGACAGAAATCGTGACACCGAAACCCGAAGGCGCATTGGGATAGTGAAACTTGCCTTCCAAAAACTAAGCAAAGTATTAAGAAACAGGAAAATTCCGTTAGAAACAAAGAAAAGAGTGCCGATCTGCTATGTAATATCAGTACGCCTATATGGCAGTGAATGTTGGACAATCTCCTCACAGGGGAAGAAGAGACTTGAACCAACAGAAATAAAGAAAAGAGTATTGAACTGTTATGTAACATCAGTTCTCTTATATGGCAGTGAATATTAGACAATCTCCTCACAGGGGAAGAAGAGACTTAACGCAAAAGAATTATGGTTCTACAAAAGGATGCTGAGAATACCATGGACTGATCATGTGAATAACGAAAAAATCTTAAGGAAAATGGAAGCAAACAGAATAGTTATGCTTAGAATCAGAAAAAGGAAAATGGAATTTCTAGAGAATACGAGGAAAGAGGAGAATATGACACTCATGGGGCATATTGAAGATAAGAGAGACAGAGGAAAACGGTGCATAATTTAGCTAACGAGCTTGTGTAAAATGATGCCAGGATAGGGTTTAGGAAAGATAACTAAAATGCAATACAGGGTGCAATGGATAAATTGTCGTGTAAATGACACAAAACTGAAAATAACACTGACATCTCATTTTAACAGATATATTTACCAAAATTGCACAAAAATACTAAAGAGTAAATGTATTCAATAAAATCGCCATTGTCTTCATCTACAGCCTCCAGAAGACTTCGAAATCTCCTGCAACTCTTCTGGATGGTCTCCTTGTTTAAGTTGGTGAATGCTACCATAATCCTTGCCTTCAGTTCATCTTTCGTGTTACAAGGAGTTCTGTTGGCCTCTCGCTCAACGACGCCCCCCCCCACATGATAATCAAGGGGGTTGCAGTCTGGCGAGCAAGGTGACCTGATTTATGTGGTCGCAAAAATTGACAGCCATGACTGGGTTCTCCTGATTGTGTGTCATGGTGCAGAGTCCTATTGCCATACATAGGGTTTTCCAGCAGCCACCCTCTTGATCCAGAGTAGTACTTCATCCTCAAGGACTTGATGTAGGCCTCCGTTCTGAGTCTGAGGCCTTGTAGGAAGATGAATGGAGGCATAACGTTTCCATCACTAGTAATCACACCAAACACCTTCGTAATCACCATTAGACTCATCCAACTCTTTCCGAATCCTCTGCATTGCCCTCTGATTGACACCCAAACACTCCGAAATGTTCGTATTGGAGATTCCGCCGCGAATGCCAAGCAGTACAGCATGCCGTTTCCAAATTTCTGGCTGAGTGATTTGCGTCATGGTGTTCTTTTTTTTCTCACAGATGGTGCCCAACTGACCCTACTATACTGTGCAGTCGACAAAACCGAAAACAACAATGCGCATGCGCGAAATTTTAAAAATAAAATAAAATGGCGACAATTTACCCATCGCACCCTGTATATACTAAGAGCTACAAGGGACAAAAAATTGTAGGGTGTCATGGTCGCCAACGTCTTGAAGGGACACGAAGAAGAAGAGAAAATACGGAAATTTGAAGGCCTATCAAAATAGCAAAAGATGCTTTCTAGAAGCTAAAGAAAGTGTGAAGAAACAAGAAAATTTCGTTAGAATCAAAGAAAAGAGTGACGAACTTCTATGTAATATCAACATATGTTAGCGAATGATAACCAATTTCTTCACAGATGAAGAGGGGCCTGAGACAACAGAGATGTGTTTCTCCAGAATAATGCTCAGAATACCAAAGACAAAACATGTGAACAACGAGCAAGTTTTAGAAAGAATGGAAACAAAAAGACACTTATACTTAGAATTAGAAAGAGACAGTTAAAAATTCTAGGACACATAATGAGGAAAGAAGGCTTGGAGAATCTGACACTCATAAAACATGCCCAAAGCAAAGGAGATAGAGGGAAACAGCGAGTAACGTAACTAATAAGCTTTTGTAAAAAGATGGCATAACAGGGCCTTGAACGGATAATAAGAGGGACCAACATTGCTTAGAACTATAAAGGATGGGAAGCTGTGGAGAACTACGTTCGCCCACGCCCTGAAAAGATAGCACATGTCCAGTTCCCCCTCTCGCGATTTTCCTTCCAGGGTTTAGCGACAAGATGAGGTCCAGAATGGCTTGTGGAGATTCAGTTACAGTGACCGACCAGACCAAATTTCAATATAATGAACATACTTCCCGTGGAGAGTTTTTCTTTTTTTAGACTGACTCACATCCAAGGCTAGACAGCCAAGTCTTCCCTGCTATTTAATAAATAGCCGGTACTAGTAAAAATAGATTCATGCCTTTTCCTAGGCTATTAGTGCTAAAGTGAGCGCTGATGAACGTTAATCTAACAGCATATCATCATTAACCATTACAACACGTTATATTTCGAGGTTTATTTACACCGACCTCAGAACATTAAGAATAAGCGTGTCAATTTATAAGAATAAACTAGACTATCCGTGACCCATTGGGTCACTGACAGTTTAGGCTATAAAAAATTGAAGTTGATTTCAACATTAATATTGTGTTTGAAGAAAGTTGAAATAAAAAGTTTTACTGGATAAACAACTCGTATTTTTAAATCTTATTCACTTAAAACATTTTTTAAATCACATTAACGTAAAAATGCGTTTTTAATATGCCAAAAGATATTTTAAAATCATATTCACTTGAAAATATTTTTTAAATATGGAAAAATATTTTTTTTAAATATTTAAAATATTGCTTGTTTAAAGAAAGCTTGAAATATAAATAAGCACGCACAAAATCTCAGGTGGAAAGAGAGAATGAAAAGAGACAGAGAGAGAGAGGTGGAAAGAGAGAAAGGTGGAAAGAGAAAGAGGTGGGAAAAGAGAGAGGTGGAAAGAGAAAGAGGTGGAAAAAGAGAGAGGTGGAAAGAGAAAGAGGTGGGAAAAGAGAGAGGTGGAAAGGGAGAGAGGTGGAAAAAGAGAGAGGTGGAAAAAGGGAGAGGTGGAAAGGGAGAGAGGTGGAAAAAACAGAGAGGTGGAAAAAGAGAGGTGGAGAGAGGTGGAAAAAGGGAGAGGTGGAAAAGGAGAGAGGTGGAAAACAGAGAGGTGGAAAGAGAGAGAGGTGAAAAGAGGGGTGGAAAGGGGGGAGGTGGAAAGGGAGAGAGGTGAAAAAAGAGAGAGGTGAAAAAGAGAGAGAGGTGGAAAGGGGGAGAGGTGGAAAAAGAGAGGTGGAAAAGAGAGAGAGGTGGAAAGGGGAGAGGGGGAAAGAGAGGTGGAAAAGAGAGAGAGGTGGAAAGGGAGAGAGGTGGAAAAAGAGAGGTGGAAAGGGAGAGAGGTGGAAAAAGAGAGAGGTGGAAAAAGAGAGAGGTGGAAAGAGAGAGGTGGAAAGAGAGAGAGGTGGAAAGAGAGAGCGGTGAAACGCGGACATCGATGTAACCATTTATGTCCACAATCTGGGTGTTAAATTAGATCACCTTCTGAAACGAACACACACGATTTCTTTCTCTACCCTCTTCCTACATGATAATAAATTTACATCTTTCTTTCACCCACTCTATATGTGGCAAACACACAATCAACTTTCACAGGCTCTTGTAATAATAAAGATATTTCAATGCCCATTCTTATAATGATAAACAATGATATATGAAAGTCATTCAACGATTTTGTTTGTAAATCAAATGTTATTTACTTATAGGCACGTTTCTCGGAGTTACTTTTATACTTCAAAATGAGACATTTTTCGTGGCCGTTGGCATTGTCGTCCAGACGAACTTCACCGAACGTGTTGTTCTCCTCTAAGACGTTTGATTAAATGTCATGCCATTTTCGATATCGCTAAGTTAAGATAGTTCAGTGAGAATAAAAAAAAAAACTATAATCACTTGTGCTGAAATGCGAAACGCAGACGATCAGTGCGAAGGCAACGTTAAAGGAAGCGTGTCAATCGGAAATAACACATATGTCTGTGATGTGTCAACTTCCGCTTTTTTCTTTGCCCAACGCTGAATGCCAACTAAAAATGAAATAACGTTTAATATTCATCGAATACAAGGCCCAAGAGCCAGTTAGGGTTGTGGTTTAATAAAATGGGGTTTTTATATGACAGTAGGGAGGTGAAAGGGAAAAGTAAGTACAGGTTATAAGGATACGTAATGTTGTATAAAAGTAAGTGTCGTTGCTGACACTGCGGTTTGGAACTAAATCGCCAGTTACCAACACGGGCGATCCCATTATTATGTAGATCACGTGATCATAAAGGGGGAGTGATTAAAGACGAAGTGGCGTGATGACTAACTTATCTCTCTTTCTCCTCTATCACTATACGTTCACTGTTCATCCTTCTTGTCTATCCACTATTGCTATACATTCACTCTCTCTACTCCACTACTATACGGATTACGATTCTCTTCTGATCATTATATTATTTGACGATTACTACTTGAACAAGTATTACTAGTGCGGATATTATTGGAAGGCGTTACTACCAGTACCGGCGTCTAGGAAGTCTCGAATATAACGAGCATTTTGTGGAAGTGATAACGAGCTTTCGCTTGACATAGGAAAGGAACAAATGTACGAGAGATAACAATTGATCCTAGACTAAATCATGTTAACATTGGAGTATCCTCTAGGGAGTCTGTTGCATAAAGTATCTTGGGGAGAAGCCGTCCGAATGGGAATCGTCTTTTTTTTACTAATACGAAAGGAATGAGAAAGGCTAAACCCCTGGCAGGTCTTATATGTAAATTTGTAAAACTTCAAAGTGCCTAATAACGTGATTATATATATATATATATATATATATATATATATATATATATATATATATATATATATATATATTATACGTTATTTTTATAGATATGATTTATTTAAGTAAATGCTCCGTTTTTTTAAGTCAACAATATTAATTACATTTATCGGCATGAATCAATTAACACTGCTTAATTAAAAAACGTAGCATTTACTTAAATAAATGATATCTATAAAAAAAAAACAACGTATAAACAGAAAATATATTAAATAATGTCGGAATTAATCCATTAATATGTTGTCATTATTTACGTTAATTTTTTTTTCTTGAGCAGATATCATCGATTGATAAAAATCATCATGTGTGTTTATAAACAGTATTTCGGACTTTGATAACCAGACGCTTCTTGGTGGCTGAATAAACATCAGATCAAATGACGATTCCCGTTAGGGTTGCAGGTTCGATTCCTGTTAGAGAAAGCATATTTTCTACAAAATCTCTCGAACATTCAGGTTGCTAAATGTAATTAATACTATTTAATTAAAAAAAACGGATTATTTACTTCAATAAATTATATCTATAAAAATAGCGTATAAACAGAAAATATACTAAATAATTGTCAGACTTTCCGTTTCATTATATATATATATATACATTCATTCTTTTTATACGTTATTTTTATAGATATAATTTATTTAAGTAAATGCTCCGTTTTTTTTAAGTCAACATTATTAATTACATTTACCGACATGAATGAATTAACACTGCTTAATTAAAAAACGTAGCATTTACTTAAATAAATTATATCTATAAAAATAACGTATAAACAGAAAACACATTAAATAATTGTCGGATTTAGTCCGTTTCATCATATATATATATATATATATATATATATATATATATATATATATATATATCGGATTGGTTAGGACGTGCGGTTTCCGGCCATAAGACCTGGGTACGAATTTCACCATCATTGAAAGTGCCTGGAATCCATATGACGGGTTGACCAAAGCTTTGTGAGTGTGTGTAGAGGAAAGCTGTTGATAATTGCACTAGTTCGAAGTCCCTAGTTATCGTGAACGTGGGTGTGGGCGGACTTTCGTTGTTCAAACTGCTGATCCTACCACATTATGCGTCCTCTCTAAGAAGCTGTAACTGAGCATAGTTGTAGTATAAACCACAGGTAGGACTCTGTGGGGGGTGAACAAACACAGACTTGTCTGAGCAGGTATCTGCGACAGGGATTGTCTAGACCCCTAGCATACGGGGTGTTTTTTTGTTACTTTATAAATAAAATGCAATTATAAAATTACTATCAATTTATTCGCAATTAAACATAATCAGGGAGAAATAACTAACTTAAAACAAAAATTAATTACGTTATTTTATTTGTCGAGTTTAAAATCACAAAATAATCAATTCCTTTTCAGTATTCTTGGATATCGATTGAGAAAAGATCTTTCACCTTACTTCCGCTGCATTTGTGTGTGAGCGGAAATCGGAACTGGTGATAGCATAAGCAGGAAATGCATCCGATGGCTAAAACAAACAGGACGCAGAGGTGTCCTGACCCTTGAATAAACAGGGCGCAGAGGTGTCCTGTGGGGAAGAAAATGCGTACATGCGTATGCGCACGCCGGAAGAGGCATGACCACACGAAGTTGTATAGACGACATACCGGAAGAAGACGTAGCCACGTGAAGTTGCGTAGGTGTCCAAATGTTATTTAACCACTCCGTTGCTTGATCTGGATGAGCGGTTGGCTAGAGGTTCACCGAAGATGTATCTGTGTCAATTCCTGTGTGCGCAATCCTAACCTCTTTGATTTATATATATATCAGTGTTCGTCGACTTATTCATCTATTCATTTATCGTCAAAGTCTATGTGTTATTATTAAAAGGAAATACTAAAGGAGCTTTTGATTATTAAATTAAATTTTTTATCTTTTTTAGTACGTTCGGAATTTTGGATAAAAATCTTGTTTTCCTACGACAGCGGAGTGGTGTGGGGTGGGGGATAGCATTGGATTTTTTTTTTTTTTTTTTTGGTGATAAACATTGATTTTTAAATTTTTGCAAAAATCAAAAAAAAATTGTCAGACTTCAATGAAACTTACTGGAGTGATTCACAAATGAATTATTTTTTTTTTTAGAAATGTTTCTTTTTTGGAAAAGTTTGGTAAAACATTTTTTTTTTACATCTGTTACATCTCCACTTATTTAAGTTTACGAAATTTCGAGAAATTAAATTTTGTAGCGTTTAATTTTTATATTAGCTATACGCAGAACTCCTTAGATAATTTAAAACTTCAATTCTTTGTAAAACAGGACCACAAGTTATAGAAAATCGTTATGAAATAAAAAATGCAATAAAACTAAGATATTATTTAATTAGAAAAGCTTTTAGTTGATTTTATGGATACTATCTTCTTAAGAAAAAAATCGATGAATAATGAATTTTTACAAGAATTGTTTTCATTTTTTATTTTAATTTGAATAATTTATATAAAATCTTTTAAAATTCTGTATTATTTTCCGGGGGTTAGATGATATTTTTATTAAGTAAAACTATATTTACTAATCATTAAGAAACAGAAAAACCTCGTTAGAAACAGGGGAAAAAGTACTGAACTGTTACGTGACATCTGTCCTCCTATATGACAGTGAATACCGAAAAATATCCTCAAAGATGAAGAAGAAACTGGAAGGATGTGGTTCTACAGAAGGATGCTGAGAATACCATGACCCGAATACGTAAGTAACGATAAATACTGAACTGTGATGTAATATAGGTCCCCCTATATGGCAATGAATATTAGACAATCTTATCACAGATGAAGAGATTCAAGCCAAAAGAAATTAACTGTGTATAGTGCAACCAGTCACCGAAAATACATGACTTTTAACCTCTTCAATAAAATTCAATAAAAATGTATAGTGCGAACCCCTATTTTTGTCGTAAAAAAACTGACTGCAAAAACTCGCCCTATACTCGAGTAGATATGACACATATTCATTGAAAGGTTAGCGCGATATGGCAGTGGATGATGGACAATCTCCTGAAAGATGAAGAGACTTGAAGCAACAGAAATGTGGTTCTACAGAAAGATGCTGATACCATGGACTGAAGGTGTGAGCAACAACGAAGTTTTAGAGAAAATGGAAACAAAAAGGAAACTTTTACTTAACATCTGGAAGATACTGTTGAAATTTCTAGATTACATAATAAAGACAATGGGCTTGGAAAATCTGATACACACAAGAAGCCAGATTGAAAACAAGACAGACAGCGGAAAACAACACATATTTAGTGAGCTTGATTAAATGGATTGCGGGAAGGATTTAGGAGAAATTTTAAAAAGACAAAATTTATTATGAGCTACAAAAAACAAGAAATTGTGGAGAGTTATGATCGCCTACACATAAGGATTTGTTTTTAATAATGAGAATTTATATCGTGATGACAGACAGCTAAAAATGACGCTAAAATAGATATTTTATAGTTACTGATTCCAAAACGAAAACGCCTGCCAGTCAATTGAAATTAGTGTTGAAATACAGTATTTTGCTTATTGGAAATATTCAATTTAATCTACAAGCGTGAAATTAAAACCAAAATAAAAACTTTAAGAAAGCTTTAACCTCTAACCCAGACGAATAAACACATCCAAAACATAACGTTAAAAATAA